AAAGTACTTAACACACATAATATAAACTCCTAAACTAGATTACCCAAGCTATAGGTCTTTAATAAGCTCAACTTGGTACACTTGCGGATGAAGCTTGAACTTGAATTTTTAACTTGAATTGTGTTGCTTCACTCCACTATTCTACCAACCTCCATTGGATATGATCGTTGAGGCTCGATTTCATCCATCCTCCAACATGTTATTTATCTATAATAAATAGATAAACACAAACACTAGACAAACAACATTAGTAATAAATTGTTTGTTAAATATTATCATAACAAAAAGGCCAACAATCTCCCTCTTTTTTATGATGACAAACAATTTACAAAAATGATATATGCATGAAAGGAAATGAATATACAATATTGTAATTATCATATATATAAACAAAAAGAATATACTCATAATATTTCTCCCCCTTTGACAACATCAAAAGGAGGAAACCAACAAGAATGAGGAGAGCGAAAGCTCCCCCTACCTATAAGCATGGGTGAGTATAAAACAAGTATAGGGATTGACTCCCCCTATCAAAATACCTTATGGAATATATAAAATGAAGACCAAGGCAAACATATGTGAGCAAGCATAGATGAAAGATATGCTAAACACAACTCACATACAAAAAGACAATTGAGAACACATGATGATATGTCATTATAAAATAGTGTGTCTCAACACAAGCCTAAAAACCATGTATAAAACTAGATTTATGAAATTAAAAGAAAGAAGAACATGAGTATCATAAAAAAAAGAGTTTTCAGATAAAAACAAATCACTCAAATGAAATCATAAATCAAGATTTAAATCCAAGAACAATGTTTGATCAATAAAGAAAACTTTCTTTGTTGAACTTGATCAAACCACATATAGAATGCATTATAATGCACAATTAAAATTTGAATCATCTATTTGTGCTATATAATGAATTCAAAAGAACAAATCAAAACAAAAATTTCATAGTTCAGAAATAAGATTATAAAACGTACAAGAATCATGAACTATGGAAAAAAATTATTTTTAAAAGTATAAAATCAAATCATCATTGATTTTCACAAATGAGAGAGGTAACCATATCAAGCTCTTGAGCTTATTTCAACCCATATAAATATTTTTAGCAATCGATAAACAAGGTTTGAGAATAAATACCCAATAAATATGGGGGGTTATATAAACACAAACATCTCATCAAAAGCAAAACTAATAATCATGAAAACAAAGGAATTGATCAAAGAAAAATTATTTTTATATTAAAAGTTTTCAAAGCACATTTTACAAAACCAAGAAAAAAAATAAAAACACTAAAATTCTTGATTTAAAAATTATTTTGGCACTCAACATTCTTAGTGCCAGATTATTTAGGGACATGACCCCTATCAATAAAGCTCAAAACCCTTGGGTTATGACCCGTTTAGGTACATGTGGTACACTAACACGGTCAAAGCAATAATCACTCAAATGACCCTTCCGATTATAATTTGTACAATAAAAGAGATCCATTTGTATTTGTGGACCATTAGCTCGTGCACGGGAACCATTTGCAAATAAAAATTATCTTTTAGAAATATTTTGCAAATGAGAAACATCATTAAACAAAGATGGTCTATTTAAGAAATTTGATAAGTTTGAATATTTTTTTAAGTCATAACAAAACTTTACCAAATGGTCAAATCTGCCACAAATATCACATTTAAACACATGTGGTCTACTAGAAACATTTAGCAAACGTGATTTTCTTTTCAAATCAAAACAATACTTGGCCAAATGATCAAAACGACCACAATGATCACATCTATACACATGAGCATGCTCATGATGAATAATGGGTGCATGTGTGTGTATATGTGATGATGAAGCTACATGAGATGCACAAGGAGTATTAGCATTCTTAGGTTTGTATGCATCATAGTAAAATTTAGCAATGTGGCCTTTATGACCGCAAATTGAGTATTTGTAAACTTTGCTATACAAGTGTGCATAGTATATAGGTGATTTTGTAGCACTAGATTTAGCACACTTGTCCATAAGTTTCTTATGGTTATCAATGCATATTCTCAAAATTGAATCTAAAGATAAAATGTGTTTATTCACAAGATTCAAATCTTTATTATTAGGCACGTATGCATTTTTATTAGAAATAGAACATAAATAGTCATTTATAAAAGAAGCAGTATTATTTTTTATGTTCTTAACTTCTAACATGGTATTATTTTTGTCATGAGTCAAGTTAGTAATATACAATTTTAAATTATTGTTTTCTAAATTTAACATATCATTGTTTTCTTTAAGAGCATCATTTTCTTGAGTAATGATATTAAATTTGGAAGCTAACTTCTCATGATCGGATTTTAATACAACATGCTTGCTTTGTAAATTAATAAAATCATTATGCAATTTATTATAGGCATGCAATAATTTTTTAGAAGCACAAGCAAGTTCATCACTAGATAAATCATTAATGGATTCGAACTCGTAAACCTCAATAGGGCTATCGCCCATTGGCCGTGTGCTTCTATAAGTTTGTCGGATCGCCTCCAAATTCCCTTGATGTGCTTCTATAAGTTTTCATAATGTGTAAGCACTATCAAAAGAATCAAGCTTATTAGAAAAAGATGAATCGAACGCATTATCTAAAAATTCTAACAAAAGCTTGTTCATGGTAAATATTTTATGATCACCTTTACTCTACTTGGATTTCTCCAAAGTGGGTACAATATAAGTATAATCTATAATTTTCCATAAATCAAAATGTCTAGATCGAACAAAAATTTTGAATCTAACACACCATTGAGCATAGGGAAAATTATCCAAACGATGAGTAACATTAATGATATAACCTAAACTAGGTGTACTGTGCATATCCATAATGTATATATGTGCAAGCAAGATACAAATAAAGTCAAAATAAGATTAGCACAAAAGATAACTTGGATCTTTAACTCAATATGATTAGACCTTAAATCAAAGAGCATCAAGCTCTGATACCAATTGATAGACCCTAAAGGGGGATGATTAGGGTCTTATGCTAATCTAATCTGATTTTATACTAATTAAAACTAATTCAACCAACTATCCTAGCAAGTATGATATACAACAAGATATATGCAAGGATAAGTAATATACACAAGGGTAAACAAAATAAACAAGATAGTGGACGATATAAATAACGAGCAATAGACAAAGGCGATATGAAATATGAACACAAGATAAGTGCACCAATGCAATAACAAACAAACAGATAATTGGGAATTGGAAAAACGTAACTTAAATAAAGAAGAGAAAAATCAAAAAAATCATTTCTGGTTTGAAAAATCTATTGTAACTTTTCTTTTCGATTCTAAACGAACTTCTTGATATAGAAAAACAAAAAATAGAATAGAACCTAAAAGGATAAGGGAAGTTTCTTTTCTTCAAATCGAGTTGGACTCGAAATCAAAAATGAAAAAGTCGATAGACCCGGGACACTTTTTTCTTCTGATTTGAGATATTATGGGCAATTACCTAACCTATTACTGAACTGAATCCGATGGTTTTAAATAAGTATAAAATTAGAAAAAATCTAAAATTAAGTAAAAGTTGGTATCAAGCTGTTTTCTCCAAAATGGACTAGATCCTAATTCAACTCAAATCTAAAATTAAGTAAAAGTTGGTATCAAGCTGTTTTCTCCAAAATGGACTAGATCCTAATTCAACTCAAAAATTGCACTGAATCCATTGATTCAGAAACACAGGATTAGTTGATGTCAAAGCCAACATATGAATCCATTTTTTCTACCTATGTAATTTGGAATTCTATTTTTTTAGTGCTATCTATAATGACTGATGAATCAAGAAAATGACTGATGAATCAAGAACTTTCCATTAGAACTAAACTAATTCTGTCAATTGATTTTTTCTTACCGTCGTATCCGAAAAAATTAAAACTTAGTGCTTGTTTGGATTGAGGGGAATAAGAGTGAAGGAAAGTTAGGGGAACCATTCACCTCCCTTCACCTTGTTTGGGAATATTTAGGAGGTAAAGTTATTCACCCTAGTTCCCCTTGGTTCACCCCCTAATAGTATAAAATTTATTACCCCCCAAATTAGGGTGTAACCAAGGGGAAGGGAACTCCCTTCCCTTCCCTTTCATTCTCTCACCTAGTTTCCCTTAACTTCAATTGAAACTTAGGTAAGTGTTTTATCAACATATGTAGCAAAAGAAGATATCTAATTTAGCTCTTTCATGCCTACTATAACTAGTTATTTTGGTTTTCTATTGGCTGTTTCAACTATAATCCTAGCTCTATTAGACTGGTTAATAAAAAGAGCATCTTTTTGGCATACAAAGAAGGGGGAGAATCTATCTATTTACCTTACCGCTTGAAACTTTGCTTGGAGTTCGATCCGCTTATTCACTCTGATGAATATACTTTTTCTCTGACCAGAAACGCCGTACGTACCATGCAACAAAGCACTGGTAGAGAAAGCACAAAAGTGGAGGGAGGCACTCAGTATAATTGAGAATCTCGTACGAGAGAGAAAGCACCGAGAGGGACTTCAAAACAAACGATATTATCACGGAGTTCGGTCCCCACGACCTACGTCTCCGCTCCTCACCTCGAGGAGATCTCCACTATCACAACCGGGTTTTCTACGCTTACCCGAATAACGTTTACACCTCACAATACGGTTTTCTAGTTCACCAAAAACTTTACAACTACACACTTAAAATCACACTCTACACCCTCTAAGTGTTGGCCTAGCATGTGTCCTCTTCCTCAAGTGTTCGGATTTATAACCTCTCTCTAGGCTCTACAACTGACGTCACTCCTCTTGGAATCGACTCCGTCTCTCACCAACCACTCCTCTCATTGTACAAGTATAATACAATGTGTAACTCATAATAATGTTTAATTACAATAAAATATTCTCTAATTGGATGAGAACTCAATGTAAGCTCACACTCAATTGTTACAATTCCCCACAACCCAAATTATACTAAGTATGAAAATACAATAAACTCAATGGTTGTCTGTGTAAGGAATGAGAAAATCAATCATAAACTCAATATAAACACTAGCTTGATAAATATGATAAACAATAAATAATTAATACAAAGCTAGTATCGAGTTTAGAAATTCTTCTCTGAGAAACAAGATGTAGAGATGGAGATTGAAGCTCAAACAACAAAGATGATCTGATCCACTTGTGAAAACTTCTTCACTAACAAACTCTTTAAAAACACACTAAACAAAATTTAAAACCCTCTTAAACTTGTTTAAAACATTCTCTTGGTTATGTAGAACTGAGGATATGTGGGGGTATTTATAGGAAACCCCAAAGCCAAGAGAAAACAACAAAACCCAGCAAAAATAGAAAAATAGAAAAGCTAGAAAAAACTAGATGTTAGGCCGTCAGTCAACTGATACTGTTCATCAGTCGACTGATGAGCTGACCGTTACAGGCCAGCAACACATCATCAGTCGACTGATGAACTCATCAGTCGACCAATGACCTCATTAGTCAACTGATCAGTCGACTGAAATAAAATAGAAACTTTTTGACATTCCAGGCGATTACTTTAGTCAACACATCAGTCGACTGATATCATCAGTCGACTTACCAGTCGACTGATAACATGTTATCAGCATGTTTTAAACATAAATTCTGATTTTAAAAGTGCCTTTAAAAATAGCAATTAAATTCTAAAAATTATGAAACTTTGGGAAATGATTATAAACATGATAATTCACATGTTACAAAAACTGGTTTTTGAAAAGGATCTCCCAAAAGAAAAATATCATTATTTTACAAAATAGTCCAAATATGAAAATATAAACACATGAGTTTTGACATTTTAGCTTAACCATGTTTTGAAACATTACAAAATAATTTTATATACTTAATAAAAGATGTATATGATTATTGTTAAGTCCAAAAATTAAGAATATAATATTTTCATAAAATTGTATATTTTGCAAACTTTTCAAAAAAACAATAAATATGATTTCATTGAACTAAATAAAATTGATATTGATAAAATCATATATATGCATATAAGTATGAAATAAGATATGTATGTTTAATTGTATTCAATTATTTCATATTAAAACTTAAAAACTATCAAACCAAAACATATATGTATATATATAACTATATATATATAACTACATATATATACAAAGAAACCAATAAAATGTGTGTGTATATATGATTGAGCTTAAAGTAATTAACACATATAATATAAACTCCTAAACTAGATTACCCAAGCTATAGGTCTTCAATAAGCTCGACTTGGTACACTTATGGATGAAGCTTGAACTTGAATCTTTAACTTGAATTGCGTTGCTTCACTCTACTATTCCGCCAACCTCCATTGGATATGATCGTTGAGTCTCGATTCCATCCATCCTCCAACATGTTGTTTGTCTATAATAAATAGATAAACACAAACACTAGACAAATAACATTAGTTATAAATTATTTGTTAAATATCATTAAAACAAAGAGGCCAACACCTCCACCACAACCACGTCCACGGAATCCGCCACGACCTCTATCTCTGCCTCTGTCTCGGCCACCAGAATTATCATATTTTTCCTTGTTAGACACCCCCTTCACTTGAAAAGCCTTCTCATCAACCTTTTCAGATGTCCTATTAATCCTCTCTTCATGTGCTATCAAGGAGCTCTTCAGAATATCAAAGTCGTAGGTGGTCAAGTCCTTCGATTCTTCAATTGCAGAAACAACGTGATTGAATTTTGAGATTAAGCTCCTCAAAACTTTACTAACAACAGTCTCATTGTCTACATCATCACCGTAGGTCTTTCTTTGACCCACAATTGCAGAAACCCTACACAAATATTCTTCCACAGATTCTTTCTCACCCATTGACAAATTTTCAAAATCACGTCGTAGAGTTTGCAATTTAATGGAAATTACCTTTTCATCTCCCAAATACTCCTTCTTCAGGATCTCCCATGCCTCCTTTGAAGTGGTTGCTGCTGCAATTTGTGGGAAGATTTCATCATCAACGGCTTGCTGGATCATGAAAAGCGCCTTGGAATCCTTCTTGCAAGTGTCTCGTAGCTGCTGGTTGGGCTCGTCTGTATCAACAAAACCATTTTCCACCAAATCCCACAGATCCTGTGATTTGAAAAGAGTCTTCATCTTGAGACTCAAAAATTGATAATTTTTTCCCCTAAAATTCGGAATAAGAGGCTGAGAGGAAGAATTGATACTGTTTGTTGCCATTAATTTGCGGTTACAAGAGCTTCTTTGAACTTCTGCGGATGGTAATGGTGGTTCCTCACTTCTCTCACACCTTTTTTTCTTACCTTTTTAAAACCTTTTTTATCTCCTGCTTGTGGAAATAGTGGACCGCACCTGGAATAGGAATTCTCTCTTTATTTTGGCTCTGATACCACAAATGTTGGTAAAGGAGGCAGAGTATAATAATGAGCAAACAAGAAAGCAGATGAATTAAATTCTTTATTGCATCATACATCAAACTTCAGTACAAAACACTACTTAAATAGAAGTAGTTGGATAACTAAAAGCCAATAAAATAGGGCAACTAACTCCATAATGACTAACCACTAACAACAAATGTAAATAATAATCTCCTAAATAATAGCAACTAAGTTTTGAATCAGTCATTTAACACAACTAACCCCCAAACACTGTACAAACCCACTGCCCAATAAATCTATTTCGAAATTACCCTTCCTATTTAAAAATGAAAAAAAAACTATTCAGAAAATCCCCCTTCTGAGCACGATTTTTGAAACCCTCCTCTGAAACTAATTTTGAAACTCTCTTCCTCTCAAGATCTCGCTCCTCCACCGCCACCGACGAGAACCCCTACATCTGCACTTCAAATCGTCTTCATCGATACTCCAATCTTGGTATTCGCTCACTCGCTCGTCGTCCGCTCGTCCGCTCATCGTCTGCTCGTCGTTCGCTTGTTCGCTCCTCGTCCGCTCCTCATTCACTCGTCGTCCGCTCATCCGCAAGCTCGTTGTCCGCCGACAAAGACCCCGCCGGCCGCAAGCTCGTCGTCCACGGGCCCCGATAAGTCCCTCTTCTTCACCAAATCCTCAGTTTGCTAAAAATACAATATGGCGAATTCATCATCTGCATCATCTAAGTCATCTGAATCAGTAACAATAAAGGCTGAGTTGTAAGTATAAACTTAATTATCCACATTTGGTCTTTTATTTTTTATTTTTTTGTCATTGTGAATTTACCCATAGTAGAACCCTAAGTAGATTTAGTTTTGGTTGTGTTGTGTTTTACAGTAAGGGTGATATCAGAATATATTGTAATATTTGTGGATATTGTGAATTCATGGATGAAATTATTCCACGAATAAGGGCCAAACATTGGAAGGTTTATGGATCTTCCAATTTTTAAAACTATATTAGTTTTGGAGTAATTCCATCTGACAAAGTCATGATCATGCTACTGCTAGATCATCTAGATTTGACCACTGTAAAGTTTTTTTTCAAGGATAACCAAACGAGGACAAGACAAGACTACACATTTGATGCAAATTGGGTGCAAAAACACACTCGGTTCAAGGATAAAGGAGAGAAACTAGAAGAGAATCACGATACCGTGAATAGGATATAATACATACTCTAATTAAAGATCATGAAAGGTTGAGACTTAGACGACATCTTGTTGGGGAATTTTACTCTCTCCGCCTACTACAATATGCATAACTCTGAAGCCAACCCACAATCAATAAGATATAAAATGACCACAATCAAGAAAAAAAAGAACACCGAAATTTATGTGGTTCGGTCGACCAACTTCGACATACGTCCACGGGGCAACAATACAAGAAATTCACTATGTATCAGGGAGAACTACAAGAGGAACCACTCAACTCTTGTCTCTCAATCTCTCAATCTCACATACATAATCAACTCTCATATTTTCTCCAAAGCCCACTCCTTGTAATCTTTTGCATGGTTAAAGATTATGAAACCCTCACCTCTCGTATAATATTCTTGAATCAGGTTACGCCCTCTGCTAACCCTAGATTACAAGAATATTTGCTCTCTCTCTACTACATCTTCTCTCTACTCTCTTCTTTTTAGTTTTTCCTCCAACAATAGAAAAATATATACAGGAAAACCAAAACTCTATCTCTAACCTAACTTCCTAATTAGAATAGGATTCAAACTCCTAATTATGATAGAACCCAAATTCCTAATCATGATAGATCTCTAAACCTATCTAATTCTCATGAAGTTCTACAAAGAGTTAAAGACACAATCCCAACAATCTCCACCTTAGATTTGATTCCCAAACTCCCTTGAAGATATATCATCGTTATCTTGAAACTTTGCCTCTCCTGCTAGAGTCTTCTATTTCTTTCGTACTTTAAATCGAAGCAGTGGCATACTGTAAAGAAAATTTAGAAATCAAACTTGAAGCCGTAGATCATTCAAGTTTATCAAACCTAGGGCTTGAATATATTGCAAAAATGAATGATCTAGGGCTTGAGTACCATATACCCCGTCACAAAAGAACTTAATGATGAACCACGTAAATAAATGACCTTCCACCTAAAACTCGAACTGTCCTAGGTTTCACAGTACTATCTCTTGCAGAGTTTTATGGTATCATCGCATCATTATGTGAAACAGACTACTTGTTCAGGCATCCTAAGTAAATATGACCTACTAACCTTATCGCATCACCGTGCCGAACAGACTACATCCTCGAGTATCCTACAGGTACGGCTCATTAGCCTCATTGCATCACAGTGCAGAATGAACTATCTTCTCAGACATCCTCATCGCATCATCATGCAGAACGAACTGCCTTCTCAGACATCCGATAAATATCGCTCACTAGTCTCATCGCATCACCATGCGGTTTGGACTACCTATTCAGGTATCCTGCATTTACGGCTCAATGGCCTACTTCAACGATACACCGACGCACTACCTTAAGTAGTACTAAGTTGTGCCCATCAACGGCATCCATACACACACATATATTGTTCTAACTAATCGTCTCCCCGTCGTGGTAAAAACAATACACACAACTATCCCCTTTTCAGAAATGTGTGTGTGCCAAGCCTCCATAGGTGTACGTCTATGTCGTACGTATAAATCGTTGTACGTCTCGAACCCCGTGTTCATGAACAACGTGCAAAAAAATCATCATAAAAAAGACATGATGTCGTTCGACTGTCCTAGGGAATTGGTCGACCGATGACCAATTCGCATAAACATGCATAAAAACAAGCTTCGGTCGAATAAAGAATTACACAAACTCAGGGTGGGATCGGTCGATCGATGTATAGGCTTCAGTCGACCGACCAGAGTCCAGAACTCAGGTTTGAGTCTCGTGAAGTTAAGACAATTTCAACAAAAAGAACTGAACATCATTATGGGGTATAGAAACATGTTTAATCATGTGTTTAACATACTAGGGTTTGACTAAATAATTGAACATCATTATGGGGTATAGAAACATGTTTAATCATGTGTTTAACATACTAGGGTTTGACTAAATAATTATTTATCATCATAACATGTTTAATCATGTGTTTAACATACTAGGGTTTGACTAAATAATTATTTATCATCATAACATGATCTTTGGGGTTTTATAAAATACTTTGAACATAACTAATCGGATTAAGTTTGTACAATTAGGTTTCAAAACCTAATTAGTTCATCATCTTAGCAATTAACCACGGTTCTAAACATCAAATTAATACATTTCCTTCATTTAGTATTTATATTCACAGATCTACACATCAAACTAAATTTTTTTTAATCCACAAGCTTATATCACTATATTGTTTCAAGTTCAAGACTCAAGTTCTACACATAGACAATTAGGATTTAGGCCATGTAAAACAAGAATTATTAATTAATCTGAAAACTAATGATCATGATCATCTATTTTTATCAATTAAATACTAATTCTTCTTATCTCTTTGTTGTTTTAAGATTTAACATCAAAACTAGGATTTAAAAATCATCAAAATAAGTACTACACATTAGATTAACCAATTATACATTTTAAAAACATGCATTTTTATAGGGGATAGGTTTGGAGGAAGATGATCTTGCCTCAACACGCTGCTAAAAAATCCAAGGGTGCAAGCAAATAGGTTCTCCCTCACCAAACGCTGATGATCTCGCCTTCTTCTCGGTATTTGCTTCACAAAGCTCTCAAAATTCACCAAAATATGCTCTAGGATTTTCAAAGAAAAAGGGTGGTTGCTAAGGTTCATAAATATAATATAAAAGAAATTGTTTGTGAAAAAACACAGGTATATATAGAGGCAAACCCGAAACAAACAAATCTGACCCGAAACAGGAAACCCAGTCAGACTGAGAAAATAGTCTTCGGTATTTTGGCTGTAACTTTTTCACCCCAACCTCAGAATGAGGTGATTTAAGATGCATTAGAAAGCTATTGAAGAAACCTACAACTTTTATCTTTAAGTGTTTATAGATTCAAACTGCATCGGTGTGTAATTCATATATACTCTTAACTGATTGTTTTTTCGAATTCGAATTGCATCAGTGTATAATGCATATATACTCTTAATTGGTCTCAAATCAATTACTATCATGATTATTCATCATTAAATAATATTTATCATAATATAACTCATTTAATACTATTTACTATAGTATTTTTTTAAAAATACGGGTTTTTCACAATGTGACCAAGTCTCATGTGCTATTATCTGGTAGTATCAGCTCCTGATATCAATGATGAAATTGTAGCCGAATCGGTAACGGTATAATCCTACAAAACATGCAAGTTATTGATCTTCTTTCCTTTTGTAACCAAAAGAAAACTTTTTGTAACCCTAAGAACTCTATCTTCACCTGAAAAATTGCACCCAAGACGATTAAGAGTGCCCAAAAAGATAAGATTCTTTCTTAAACCTAGAACATGCATAATATTATTCAAAGTCCTAATGACTCCATCATGCATCTTAATCTGTGTGTCTATCCCAATAGTCTTACATGAGGCGTTATTCCCCATAAGAGTAACTCTACCATCAATAGCTTCTTAAGTGGAGAACCAATATTAAAATGGGTACATATGATAGAAACAACCCGAATCTGAATTCCAACCATCCATGCTCCTATTTTTATCATCTATAACCAGTAAAATCACATCTTCAGTAATACTAACTTCAACGAAGTCCTCCTTTGATTTTTCTTCATATTCTTCTTGTTTATTCTTATTCTTCAATCTATGACAATCGGCCTTGATGTGCCCTTTGTTCTTGTAATATTTGTAATTAGTCAGATTCCTGTATTTTAACTTATACATGTTACCTCAAAAGCCCCTTTCTTTGGATCTTTCTCGGACAAATAAGTCATTAGCTTTATCACCACTTTTCCCTTATGGTCAACTCTTTGTTGTTCTTCTCCTTATTCAACAAGTTCTCTTTAACGTCCTTGATGCCAATAGAATCTTGACCATAAATCATAGTATCCCTGAAGTGCTTGTAGGAAGGTGACAAAAGAAAACAATAATAATAAGGCTTGATCTTCATCATTGATCTTAACATTAATCTTACTCAAATCTATAGTTACAGAATTAAATTCACAAATATGAGATTTGATGGGTATTTCTTCTAACATTTAAAGTGTGTACAAACGTTGCTTTAAAAGGAGGCGATTAGTGAGCGACTTCATCAAAGACAAATCCTCCAACTTAGACCACAAATCTGTAGTTGTCTTCTCCATGAGAACTTCTTACAAAACTTTATTTGTCAAATATAACCGGATCGCTATGAGAGCTTTATCATCCAATCGTTCCAATCTTCCTCCGTCATGGTAGCTAGTTTCCTCGACTTACCGAATAAAACTTTCTTCAATCTGCTCTGTGTTAACACGATGATCATCCTAACTTGCCAAAGGTTATATTATCATCAAACTTCTTGATAGCCCACTGCATAGTAGTTGACGTCATCTTCTCGTCCGATCGGTAGCTGAGGGATCTGATACCAATTTGTTATGACAAATCCCTAGAATAAACTAATATCAATCACATAAGAGCATGAAAAATATCAAGAACATACGAATACAAAGATATACATGGTTCGGCTTGTAGCCTACGTTCACGGGAGGAGGAGGAGATAAGCTTTACTAAATTGTGAGGAATACAATATGGAGATCTCTCAATCACTCAATCCTAGATCACATCCTAAAAGCCTAATACAATCTCTCAACTAAAAGAACAAAAAAGAAAAATATCAAGTAGGCTTCACAAAAGAACTCCCTCTTCTTGATTGGTGCTTTTTGTAGATTAATGATCATAATTGGCTTGAAAGACTGTACATATATAACCTTGAAGACCCCAATTCCTTGCTGTCTGCGAAATAGAAGTTCTAGTTGGAATAGAAGTCCACATGTTCTAAAGCTCAATAAGAGTCCAAGTAGGAATATCAATTATTTACCCTTATCAAAATAGAAATTTAAATTTATATAATTATTCCATACTCCCACAAGATAAAGGACTCCTATTGACCGCAGCTTCTGCTAAAAATATCAGATTGAGTATTTGAGTCACAACATAACAGAAATCTTCACTAAGTTTAGTAAAGTAAAAAAGGTAAGAGGGTTATGTGCAAAACACCACAAAGTTCAAGAGGTATTGCAAAATTAAAGTAGTTAAGGGGGTTATCTACGAAATCCCCAAAATTAAGGGTTTTTTAAATTAGCCCATGGGGTTGGAATTGGATGGATTTTTAAAAAAATGGGTCTAAAAATTTAAAGGGAAAATTGCAACTAAGAAGCAAACTAGAAAAAAATTTATGCATCTCTCACCCTAGTTAAAAGTCAAACCCAATATATCCCGTGGACCCAAGAACCCATGCTAAAACACCCCCAGGCTTTTCTGTCGCTGATTCAATTTAGGATGTGATTTTACCATGGAATAGGGTTAATTTCGTAAATAAAATTTGAAATTTTATCATTGAAATAGGTTCAAAATTGAGAGCTTTAGTTCATCGGTTGTATGATTTGAGAAGAAAAGGGGTAAATGCTTTCAACATTAAAGTTCTAGAAGACTAATGTTTTTTGGGAGACAGCCTATCTTCTTCTCAGAACGACTAAATTTTATCAAAAGATTCAAATTTTTTGAGAGATCTATGGTTCAGCAATCAAAACTTTCTCCGTCTTTAGGTTCAATAACAATAATAAGGGAAAATACTTCCAGCCCCCAAAAGCTAAGAAAACGTGCTTCCCACCCTCCAAGACTTTGTCAACGGGTATTTTACCCCCAAAAATAAAGATTCTGTTCTCTAAACCCCCAAAACACAAAACCCAAGACATTAAAACATGTGAAGACCATAATACCCTTCGCTCTCTCTTTCTTTTTTTATTAAAATATGATGAGGATTATTTTATTATTTTTGTTTTCTCTCTCTCTTTATCATGATGTACTGAGATGATAGTTGAAATAATTGATGAGGATTATTTTATTATTTTCGTTTTTTATTATTTTGGTTGTTTGTATTGGGAGATTGTTAAAGTTACGGGTTAATTGTTAAGGTTATGAGTTAATTGTTAATGTTACGGGTCAATTGTTAATGTTATGAATCCTCTCTCTCTCTCTCTCTCTTTCTTTTTTTATTAAAATATGATGAGGATTATTTTATTATTTTTGTTTTCTCTCTCTCTTTATCATGATGTACTAAGATGATAGTTGAAATGATTGATGAGAATTATTTTATTATTTTTGTTTTTTATTATTTTGGTTGTTTGTATTGGGAGGTTGTTAAAGTTACGGGTTGATTGTTAAGGTTACGGGTTGGTTGTTAAGGTTAAGGGTTTGTTGTTAAGGTTATGGGTTTGTTGTGTAGGTTACGAATTTGTTGCTAAGGTTACGGGTTTAATTGTTAAGGTTACGGGTTTAATTGTTAATGTTACGGGTCAATTGTTAAGGTTATGGATCCCTTCTCTCTCCCCCTCGTAATCTTAACAATTAAACCCGTAACCTTAACAATTAAACCGTAACATTAACAATTAATAAACCGTAATCATAATAATTAAACCCGTAATTAACCTTAACAATTAAACCCATAACTTTAACAATTAAACCGTAACCTTAATAATTAAACCGTAACCTTAACAATTAAACCATAACCTTAACAATTAAACCCGTAACCTTAACAATTAAAACCGTAACCATAATAATTAAACTCGTAACCTTAACAATTAAACCTGTAACCTTAACAATTAAACCCGTAACCTTAACAATTAAACCGTAACCTTAACAATTAATAAACCGTAACCATAACAATTAAACACGTAACCTTAACAATTAAATACGTAACCTTAACAATTAAACCCGTAACATTAACAATTAAACCCGTAACCTTAACAATTAAACCCGTAATCTTAACAACAAATCCGTAACCTACACAAATAAAATAATCCCCATCATATTTTAATAAAAAAAGAAAGAGAGAGAGAGATGATTCATAACCTTAACAATTGACCCGTAACATTAACAATTAATTCGTAACCTTAACAATTAACCCGTAACTTTAACAATCTCCCAATATAAACAACCAAAATAATAAAAAACGAAAATAATAAAATAATCATCATCAATCATTTTAACTATCATCTTAGTACATCATGATAAAGAAAGAGAGAAAACAAAAATAATAAAATAACCCTTATCATATTTTAATAAAAATAAAAGAGAGAGAGAGAGAGAGGATTCATAATTAACCTTAACAATTGACCCGTAACATTAACAATTAACTCGTAACCTTAACAATTAACTCGTAACTTTAACAATCTCCCAATATAAACAACCAAAATAATAAAATAATCATCATCAATCATTTCAACTATCATCTCAGTACATCATGATAAAGAGAGAGAGAAAACAAAAATAATAAAATAATCATCATCATATTTTAAGAAAAAAAGAAAGAGAGAGAGAAGGATATTATGGTCTTCACATGTTTTAATGTCTTGGGTTTTGTGTTTTGGGGCTCAGAGAACAGAATCTTTATTATTGGGGGTAAAACACCCGTTGACAAAGTCTTGGGTGTGGGAAGCACGTTTCCTTAGCTTTTGGGGGCTGGAAGCATTTTCCCTTAATAATAACAATAATAATAATAATAATAATAATAATAATGGGCTCAGTGGTGAAGAAGAGATGGTTCTAGAGTATTTTGGGAAAATATTTCAAAGGTTTATATAGTTTTTTCGGGCTAGCTAGGAGTGTTTCAGCAAGGGTTACTTTTTCTCAACACTTTCCCACTCTTTATATAAATACTTCCCGCATCCAACCCCTTCAGCACTCCACAACCTCCGCCAACCTGAGCAACCTCTCTCCAACTCCCAAACAATGCCGGACGGCGGTTGCGACACGTCATCACCCTTGCGGGCCCGCCCCTCCTCTCCTCCTCCCCGAAGCCGAGCTCATCGGCGTCCGATGAGATGCTACATCGGTCGCCGGCGAGTTCGGCAGTGGCAGCTCCGCCACTTCCTCCTCACGAAGCCTCGCGTGGTCCCTCACCGCCTTCCACACCCTCGTCGTCGTCTTCGCCGACCGCAAACCCGGTACGGGTCCGACCGAACCGACCCGGTACTTCGACTCGACCGTTGCGGAGTGGGGTCTGGTCGGAGGGGAGAAGTACAAGGTTGGGCTGTCTCAGTCGGCGTTTTTCGCCGGGTCCATGATCGGTGAGTTATGGTTGATATTTTTTCCCCCCCACAGTTTGCGCCTCGTTCAATTTTATTAGAGTTTTTAATTAAATTTTAGGTTTTCTGGATTTTGGGTTCCAAGATATATAAAAGAGTACGTAAATTAATGGTTAAAACAACTGTAATGTTTTTAAGCTAAGCTTTCATAGGTTTTTTTACTTATTAAGTAAATTCATTGAAATTTTAATTTTGTTATTAAGAAATGGCATGACTTTTTTTTTAGTTACTAGAAGAATTTTAAAAGAATTCCTTTTTATTCCTTTTATTAAAAAGATTTATTTATGTTTCTAGTTTTGGAATGTTTATGGATATTTCTTTTAACAGTATCCTCTAGATATGTGAAATCTATTGGCATTATTTTTGAATAAAAAAAGTGCAAGCTGTTGCTAGTTCGCACAGTGGACTTAGACGGATATATTAATGAGGAGATTAAATGATAATGGGAGACTGTCACAGATTAATCTGTCAAAAGAGTTAATATATATATATTTATATATATCGGTTTTTCTATAGAGTGTCCATGAGCACTCTATAAGAGAGGAGAGAGATAGAGAGAAATGAATGAGAAGATGATCCCAATGCAAATCAGTGGACCCACTTCCTCATTCATTTCTCTCTATCTCTCTCCTCTTTTATAGAGTGCCCATGGGCACTCTATAGAAAAACCATATATATATATCGTGGCACTATCAAATTGTCGGTATCCAAGTTATTAATTATTTTATGAATAATTATGATTTGGGCTAAAATAATTTTTTTTATGAATAATTACGATTTATTTATTCTAAATGTGGCACTATCAAATCAGATCTCACTACAGTTGTTAACGTTTAGAATATTTATTTTCCGTCAGCTTCTAGAGAGATCTTTTAACGAGCCAATGTGATTGAGATGGTGACTCTACTGGATACTGGAAATATATATCGTCCTCGTGATCCCATCACATGATTAATATATATTTCCGATTATATTTTCCCTGGTTAGGTGCGGCTAGGTCCAGGTCTAACCCCATCAACCTAAGTCCACGTGGCATCCACCTCATACATATAGAAAACGAGGCAGATCATAGCGCTTAAATATCTTACATAGGTTCACACGCGCTTGTACAGTTTTATTCTTAGTTAGTTGTGTTTTATAGCATTTACATACATTGAACTGGCGAAGATTAGCGAGTTAATGCTCCTTACTTAATTTGTAGACGTGAAAATTTTTATGTAACATTCATATGTTAATTTTAAAGCTTTTAACTGTTAATATCTGTTAAATTACTCTTGAACCTACCAAAAATAGAATTTAGAAAGATTTAACAATGAATCCAACCGGTTTAATTAATAGACAGAAAGTTATAAAATTAGCATACGGATGTTATAATTATATGTGGATTTTGGGATAACAATTTTTCATATTTGTAAATAAAGGGCATCATCGTGCTAATTTTGTTCGACTCTAGATGCGACGAGATGCAACTAAAAAATATGTAACTGCGAAAGAAGTGAAGCTATAAGCTATTTAAGTGCTATTCTTAGCGAAAAATACAAAAGAAATGTGGCGCTGAGTTAGGCGTTGCAGCAATTTATTCAATGCGTCCTCCGACGTTTATTCGGTCGGGTCATTCACATGCATTTCATATTGTTGTAGCAGTGAAATTGGCACGTGCTGCCGCTAGAAAATGAATCATCAACTACATAAGAAGAAAGCCAACCGAGTCTTTGTCGGAGCTGCCGGCTTCCTTTTTTTCCGCCGGGGCTGCCTGTTTGACCCATAATTAATTACGTGGGTCCCACAATTACGTACGGCCCACTTATATTGTATTGGTGTGAAAAAAAATAATGATAGAGGCACACCTCGAAACACACATCCAACCACACACTCTCTCTCTCTATAGTGGTAGTTGGCCCTGCATGATATTTTTTTAAAATATTATGCAGGGCCCACTACCACTAGAGAGAGAGAGGGTGTGGTTGGAGGTGTGGTCGGAGGTGTGTCCCTAGTGTGACTCTATGTTTCCCAAATATTTGTTAGTCCCCGAAAGCTTTCGCGTTTTGAAATTCATCCCTCAAATCTTCAAAATTGAGCCGAAGCAATTCAATTTTGTCAATTTACTACGTAAATTAAGCACGCAGGTCCGACGACAAATTAACAAAGAAGCACGTTATATATAACATATATGGGTATTAAAAGTGTAAGTTTTTAAAAACTTGAATGCGCATGTAAGTGCTGTTAAAAATGAGTGAAGGTATATGAGCAGAAATATTTAGGGAAAATTAGGCTCGATGACTAATATCACGATAGAGATTTAATATCATATATTGATAGAATAGTGAGATGGATATATAGTTAAAATATCTTTAGATATACAACGACTAAGGCATTTTTCTTATACTCACAATTAATAATATCAATTTTCTTGAGGTTCTTTTCTGTGGTAAATTTAAATTTCCCTCCAAATTTTCTCTCCTGCGAGCAGTGTGCAGGCATCTTGGCCACTCTCCGACTCGTTCCTTCGCCGGAAAGGAGCCGTAACCCTAACCTCCTCCATAAACGACGTTTCCGGACTCGCCACCGCCTTCTCCCCCGCCTTCCCTTCTACGCGCCTCCGCTTCGTCACCGCTCTCCACGGCGGCCTCGGTGTGTCCGTCTTCACTCTCACCACGAAACGTCGGCTCCTCCGCTCGTCCTGCCACGTTGCGATGTGCACCTTCCTCTTCTTCGCCTTGGGCTCCATCCTCCTCTCTTTGGCCTCTCTTTCTACACCATCTTGGAGATCCCTATACATAATATCCTCGGTCCCTTCTGTTATATTCGTCATCGTCGTTGTGCCTTTCATCGCCGAATCCCCACGCTGGCACCTCGTACACGGGGATGTCACCGCCGCGATGGCGACCATGCGATCGATCGCCAAGACGAACGGTAAAGACCTGCCCGATAACGTTTTCCTCGCCCTCGACGACCGTAAGGCGGCCCAGGAAAACAAGAAGGATGCCGCCAGGAGCACGATCATCGACGTGATCAGGTCGCAGGTGACAGGGCCCCGCTCGCCTCTCTCGTCGTCATCAACCTTTCATTCCATCGCGTACTACGGCCTGACGGCTGAATGTCAGAACTTGCGGCACGGACCTGCACATAGCGTTGATCTGAACGCAGCCGCGGAAATGCCGCCTACGCCCTGAAACCGCGCTCCTCGCTGAAGTGGGTGCGGGAGGCGGAAAATGATGTGTCGATTGACTGCGGGCCGCAGCGTTCTGCGTCTGCGGCGGCCGTGCTTTGCAGAAAGACAGCACGGACCGGCATGCGCCGTGATGGGGTCGTTGCCGGTGACGGGGACGTTCAATCTGTGGTATATATACGACGCGAGCTTTTCCGACGACGGTGGAGGAACGCCGCGTTAGGGGTGGTGTTCGCAGGCGCCGCAGGGGCGCAATGGTGGCGCCGATGGGGTGGTTTTTAGGAAGGATCGACCATTTGGCGTGGTTTGGGGGTCTGCGGGTGGCAGGCTCGGAGCGATATTGGCAGGCTTTTGTCGCGGAGACGGTCTGGACCGGCCGTTGTATAGAGCGACGAATGGCAGGGCGTTGGAGCAAGGGGGAGGGGCGTTGGTTTGAATGGGGAGAAGAGGGAAAAGGAGAGTTTTGTTTGAGCGTGACGAGTAGTGCGTGGAAGCGTGCTGTGTGAGCTTTTGTTCAAAATTGTAGCCAGAGTTGTCCGTGAGCTTTTTCTAATAAAATGAAAGCGTGTTTGCGTGAGATTTATTTATTTATTTATTTATTTTACTGATAAATGAGAGACTACGTACCTATGAATCATACGTGAAGACGGCCTTGAAATCAAGTACAGCTGTGCTTTGCAATTTCTTTAATAATAAAATGAATAGGGAACAGGATGTCTCTCAAAAGAAATGTCAAGTGAAAAATGGGATACCGGATGCACAATCAAAGAATCCAGATCTCAATCCAAAATGATGGGATCCGTACTTAAATAGACGGAACAGAACCAGTATAGAGCCCCACTTAATCTTTCAATAAACAGAGATA